AAGAAACAATTCACGTTAGAGCTGGTGACAAGGGTAAAAATACCCACAGAATACCCATGTAAAGAACAAACCACGAAAACCCCAAAGCTTACAGCAAAAGCTTCTGGGCACTAGGCCATTGTATCAGACCAAATATTTAGACATTTCAGAGAACCTCAAACTCAACTTTAGAAGTTTGGTTTGGATTTGTTTTTAATATTTGTTCCTCTTCTGTTTTTGCATGCAAACATAAGTCACTAGGAAGAACTAAGGATAAACACAAAAATCCCTCAAAACTGAAGCCATGTCAAGAGCAAACACTGTTGTTCAACTAGCTCGAGAGGATTTTTTCCTTTCTGATGCCTTCCAGTGACAGTATTGGACACTTGCTATCTGAGACTGTATTTTGTCATTCTTCCTTGGGAGGTGTTCATGTCAGAGAGAATTAGGGATTATAATAGATTTGGGGGAGGGGAGGAAGGAAGGAAGGAAGGACAACACATGTCTTAGAAGACACAGAGCTATATCGCAGTACATACATACTTAGACACTTCACTGTCAAACACTGAAGATAAGCAAGCTAAATACTAGAAAGAACTGCTTTTTTAGTCAATACAAAAGGCAGAAGCAACCCTAACTGAGTCAGTCTGGCTGTCTATTACTTAAGTTTACCGGGTTTTAAAGCAAGACCAGACAAGACTAACACTGAATCCTAAAACCTCCTAACATTGCAACACTTCTCCAGTCCACTGTTGTTCCTGGGAGGATTATTATAGATACTGAAGTTGTAAAGGTTCAAAGTTGTTTGGGTGTGAGCATGCAGAAGCAGTACAAAGCAGTAAACAACAGCCAGGCTGTGTGCTAGGCCAGCTACTCTCCCTCTGACGGATAAGCTACATTGAATTTCCTACTGGTAAGGCAGGCCAGTGACTACAGATACAGGTCACAAACCCTGAACTATTATCCTCATTTTTGTCACAGTAACTCACGTAACCCTTCCTCTGACATTATTTGCACATGACACCTATAGTTTCTGTTAACCTAAAGCTTAAATATAGACAAAAACTGCTAAAAGCTCATGGCACTCTAAGATAGAGGGAGCATATTAGACACCCATGTTCTGTATTATGGAAGTCCACTGAAGTGGAAATTTTGTCTATATGCCTCTTAAGGAACTCGGACAGAAAAAAGTAAAACTATCTTTTGGTCCCTTACACAATAATGAAGGGGTCATCACTAGGCAAGATGATCAAGACAAAGCCCCCTGAAATACAAAGCTAGATATAAAATAGGCAACTCCTGCTTGATGCAGAATGCGTTCTTTTCCAAGTGGTTTTCCTTGATGCATATCCACTGGAGGGAATTATAATCTTCTTAAGTTCTTAGAAAAAGTAAATACAGACAGCATGTTCTCAATTGTGTTAGCAAAAACTTTCAGCATACCAATTAATTTTATCCCCCCAAATTAGAAAGACAAACATCCACAGTGAAATGAACATGTGAGGACCACTCTTGAGCTCTGCAACACTCCAACTTCCCTCCTCAAAGGAACCATGCTATTACATGAGAACCAGCTATCATCAAGTTTTGGTTCACTTAGACCAGCGAAACAGAATTAGTTTAATATTCCAACTTTACCTTAACTAACACCACAGAAGAATTAAACAACTTTTCTTTTGAAATGAAGTTCAGCAACAGTTTTGTACAACATCCCAAAGCAACACACCGCTGCTCTGCTCCAAGGAAACCACTTTCAGAGAAGTCAGCACAGGCTTTAACCAAATCAATTTCGGAATATAAATAAGGAGCCATTCACAGCAGCAGTTTGCCCAGGGAAGCCAGTTGTCTACTGACAACCACCATCAAGTACCGCTAAGGACTTCTACAAACCACAGATAAAGGAAGTTTTTAACACAGAGAGCATCGTTCTCATCTTTAAATATGTGACTTACTAAACCTGCAGCACAATTTTTACCGAGGGGTTTGTTTCCTTCCTTCAGTAGTGTCACAAGATAAGAATCAGTGTGTGGTTTCGCAGCACTTGGTCAACAATCTTCCACAGAGATTTTGAAGTATTCAGCACATATCCTCAGCATGACAGTAACAACACAGAAGCAAAGCGACTAAAACACCCTACTGAGGAAACAACACATTGAGAAAATACTTAAGAAACTACAGATAATTTCTCTCTTTACCCAACGCTCAATCACCAAATCACCTTCTTTATCACAGTAATCTATATGCTTCATATCTCTTGTTCCTGCCAAGAAGTGGGCTCTTCACCTAATGCCTCAGTAACATATAAACACCTTGCTCTTTCAAGTCTGCATTTACAGGAAAGTGGCTAACCATCCAAGTCTTTCTCACTCCAAGAAGACTGCGCCTGGGAGATAGGCAGTGCACAAAGGACTAAAGAAGAACTTGCTTTCTGGTTTAGTATATTTCTTTCCTAACGTTGATTTTAGATTTGTAGTTCTGAAGGAAGTCTAGGTTACATTCTTGCTACCTCATCTCCAGATTTTCTTACTATTCCTTAAAACTGTATCAGTAAACTCCTTTTGTAACTCACTCGGTACGAGTGGCCACCAAAATATTTGGGGTTTTGTTGAGTTTTGGGGTTTTTTTTTTATATTTTCCATCTGATTCCTTAGGATGTTTGACCTGGAGCTACCCTGATTGCCAGCCCAGTTGCTCACTGAGCAACAAAAACTATCACATTACCAAAATACTAGAAACATACACATGGAAGCGGAGAGGGGAAAACTAATTAAGCCCCTCTAATAGTTATAGCCACGTTAGTACGTCCATGTGACGCTTCAAAAATTGTAAAAGCCAACCTTCGTCCTAACAGCACCTCAGAGCGACTCCTTCAGCGAGGCACTACACACCAAGCGCAGGGCGCACATACACGTCTCCTACTTTGCCGCTCCGAAATCCCAAGTTTCACCCAAAGGCGAGGGAGCGGGACAGCTGCGCGGCGGGCGGGAGAGGCGGCCGGGGGCGTCGCTGTCCGCCCGCACCGCCCTTCCCACCCGGAGCCGGGGCACACGTTTCTCCGCCGGAGCCCCCCGGCACCCGCCGGCGGGGCGGGGCCGGGAACAAAGCCCGGCTCCGTGCCACCCTCCCCGCTCCGTCCCGCCATTCCCGGCCGGCCTGGCCCGTTCCCAGCGCTGCCATCCCCCGCGGCGGTGGCTGCCCCGGCGGCTGCGCGTCCCCGCTGCCGCGGGGGGCGGCCGGGGCCGGGCGGGCGGGTGCGGACGAGGGGCGGGGCGGGACGATCCCGGCGGCGGCCGCCGCTTTCCGCTCGGCCCGCGGGGCCGTGCGAGCGCCGCGCCCATCCCGAGAGCTCCGGGGGCCGCCGGCTGAGAAGGCTGGGCACACACGGGCGGGGCCGCAGCCAGGGAGAAAGAGGCGGAAGAGGGCGGGAGAAGACGGGGCGCGGGCCGCGGAGGGGCTGGGGGAGCCTTCGTGTCCCCGGGGCAACAGGGCCGGAGCCCAGCGGGGGGGGCGGCCGCCAGGTGCCGACCGCACGCAGCACCGCCGGCCCCTCCTCCCCTCCGTCCTGCGCGTCCCTCCGCGGTGGCGGCGGGCAGGGCCGCCCGGCCACACGCTGCCCTCCCTTCCTTCCCCTCCCTCCCTCCCGTCCCCGCCGTAAACAAAGCGGCGCGGGCCGGGACCGAGCCAGCGCCTGAAGCCGCACAGGACAACCCGCGGGCTCCGTCCCCGTCCGGGCAGAGCACCCCCCTCCTTCCCCCGATCAGCCACGACCGGGTCCCGGGTCTGCCGCCTCACCTCTCCCGCCGGTGGAAGCTGCCGCAGCCCGGGCGCCACCCCTCCTCCCCAGCGCGGCTGCGTCTCCCCCCCGCCTTCAGAGCGACCCTGCTGGGAGCCGGTGAGCGACTCGCACCGCCGGCATCCCCCGCCGGCTTTATCCCTCCGCCGCCGCTCCCCTACGGCTCCTCGACGTCCCGGCGCGGCGCTCCCGCCCCCCCCGCCGCCCCATTGGCACGCGCCGCCCCGCCTGAGCTCGCGCTCACTGGGGCAGGCGCGCGGCACTCACGCGGCACCGCCCCCGCGCACCCGCCCCGTTGGCTCCCGAGAGCCCGGCCCGCCCCCGGCACCGCCCCCACCCTGCGTCCCGGCCAATCGCCAGCCCGTGAGGGGCGAGCCGAGACTCCGATTGGCCGCGCTCGCCCGCTTCCCGTAGCCGCCATAGGCCGAGGCAGCGGCCGGTCCCGCCCTCCGGGAGCGCCCCGGGGCACCGCCCCCCCCGGGTCGCCCCGCCGGCTCCGGCACCGCGACCTCGCTCTTCCCGGGCAGCGCCCCGGCCCCTCGCTGCGTGCCGCCCGGCTTGCCTGGCAGGAGCGCGGCCCAAAGAAGCCTCTGCGCCCCCGGCGAGAGCAGGACCGACCGCTGCCGTTAAGAAGGCCGGTATCATCAAGGTAGCCGGGAATAAAACCGCCTTCCGGGCACGCAGCAGCAGCAGCAGCGTGGCTGGGGAACATCAAGGAACTTTCCTGGCTACTGAGGCGATGAGGCCCCGCAGGGGTCCCGCCGCGCCGTGCCCGTGCCGTCAGGGCGCTCCTTTCTCCCGTAGGAAGCGGTCGGAAAATCCGCCCTTCCCCCAAGCGAAAAAGGGCAAATACTTGTGTCTCGGCCAGCTCCACAAATGCTCAGATACCGCCTTTTTGCCAGGAATTATTCGCGTTGTTCTACCAATGCGAGCCGCCAGGCTCCCCCGCAGGAGCAGCCTGGCTCCCGGGAAGCCTGCGGGGCAGGGAAGGGAAAGCTGTCGCTGCCCCTGAACAGCACATAAAACACTTGGGCTGCTCTGGCCATTGGAACTTCACTTTGATTACACGCATTTCCCCCAGGCGCCAAGCTGCAAGGTTTATCGCAATGCAAGTGACGCTGGCAGCAAGGCAAAGTAATAAGATAATTCACAACATCACCCTCAGAAAATTCAGCTGGCACTGGGTGGGGTGGGCCAGTATTTCACTAATACAACAGGTCTGGTGGCTGGATGTAACAATGTATTTCTAAACAATCCAAAGATTTGGGAGACAATGTTAATAGAAACAGTACCAACATTAACATTTTAAGTAGTTAAAAAGTAACTATATTTTCTGTTGAATGCCTCAAAGCTTCCAGGCTTGAAAAGAAAAAAAAGGGGAGGAAGAAGGAAAAATAAATACATGTCGAGCATGATAAAATAACACAAGATCTGCAGAACAGCAGTAGAAGGACTCCTAAGTCACCATTTTCCCACTGTTAAACGTAACCCTGTCATGCAAGTACCGTATTATAATAAGCATATCCAACAAAACCAGAATTGAGTGAAAAGTATGCTTTTTACAAACAACAAATGCACCAGCACAACAGTTGGTGTAGTTTCTGGTAGGAGAAGTTCAAAGTTCTGCTACACACTTTGTACAATTCTAGGTTTTTTGGAGTAAAAAGTCCCTTCGTGCTAAACTACTTATGTCCATGGGCTGCACATCCTTAAGGCAGATATGTACATCAACTTGCAGAAACCACTAGGAAAAGAAAGCAGGAGAGGAAAAAAATAACGATATACTGGTAGCTGAGAAGAGGTTAACTCTTTCCTGTAGATTTAAGAATTTTGTGGAGTATTTTTTATTGTATTTTAACAATTGTACCACAGTCTAAATGATGGGTGATAGAGCACCTAACAAGAAAAACAGGATTCGTTGCTACTGGCCTCGTGCATCATTTCAGATTACATCACAAGTTGGTATTGATTTTGAAGTTATCCCGAGTTAGGAGCTCAGCCTGATCTTCCCAATAAATGCACATACATCCATGGAATAAAGAGGAGCAGCAGAACCTCACCACCAATGAAAATCATACCACTGGTATTTAACCCTGAGCACCTGAACTTTACAGGATGTACAATGACGCTACTTTCAAAACACAAATTCTCCTGTTACCTCCCTGCTTTACAAAATAGCCCTAAGGACTGGTTAAAATGTAAAGTACCTCACAAAATACATTACAGTACCAGTTAATAGCAATTATTATCTATGTGGGTAAAGTCCTTACTAATTGAGGCTTTGACTATCAGCTCCACAAAGACACCCACTCTTGGTTCTTGCTGATGTGCCATAATGCTTCAGGCAAATAACTGATTCTTTGTTTGCCACCAGTTATAGTAGTTACAACAATGCTCTTTTTTTGGTATGAGACGCTGTTATTTTCTCGTTAGGGAGAGAGTGATTTTTCCAACACAGTCCTGTTGCCTCTTGGCAGCCACTGAAGAACCAGAACCTCAGCTGTTACATTTCACTGTATTGTCCAGAGCACCAAGCAAAAAACAACAGCAACAAAAAAACAAAACAAACAAAAAAACCCAAAACAAAACAAAAAACGACAACAAAAAACCACCCTAAAAAAGGCAAAACCCCCCAACCAACCAAACAAAAAAATCACCATTCCAGCTACGTGCTTGAGTACATAAACTTGCAGTGCTCGTTCTGTGACTTTCCTTACCGGATCAGCTTTTACCCCTACTCTTTTACACATCTACGTGTTTAAGTTATGTCTTATACATTATCGTAAAACTAAACTAATTTGTTAGGCCACTTCTTTAAGTGGATTTATAGAAAGCCTTACACTGTTAACAAGGGCAGAATAAAAATTATCAGAAAGATAAGCTTTTAAACCACTTGACAGACTGCATATAACTCACCTTACTTATTCTTTGAGCTCTGGCTTCAAGAGTTCTGAGTATTCACCAGTTACTTTGTTTTGCAAAGTACTGCAATTAGAAAACATGTGACTTTCACACCTTTCAACTTCTCGTTAACATAAGTAATCAGTTCGTTTTAAAAGAATCTTATCGTTTGAAAGTTTTCCTTTTTCCTTCTTTGAGGCATCTCCTTCACAAGAAATAACTTCCAATTTCTAAATATTAACTATAAAGTTTCTGTATTACAGTATTTTGAATCTCAAATATAGTTTTCATTCTTAGATGATAGTCATAAAAGATAAAACGTTTCAAAACATAGATAAGTTTTAATACTTCTAAAAATAATTTTGACTCCTAAAGCAGTCCAAAAATACACGACTTCATGCTTTCAACAAATTATCTATCAGTTTTGTAAATCTAGCCTTAAACCCTGCCAGAGAGCAACACTTTATGTTTATTCAGAAGGACCTGGTGATACCATGACCGATTTTAAACTAAAGTTCTCATAGTTGCATGAAAGATGGCATCAGTATAAAGGAAGTCATAGAAGTAGACCAGATGTCAGAAACTGCGTCCTTGTTAACATTTCTTTCTATGTATGAACTTCAAAAAAGAGCTTGAATACAAAGTGCTAAGGATGTGGATATGCTCTATGCTGCATATGGCCCTACAGCTGCAGTTCTAAGAGAACAAATGGATGTGTGTGGCCAGGTGAAACCTTTAAGTATCTCACAAACAGGCTGTACTAGGTAAGAATTTTGAAAGGATGGTAAACTGACCGGTTTGCTGTATGATTGTAATTATTTTTTTTCCCATTAGAAGTCTAAGGGACTTGAAGACAGTGAAGTGACAAAATTGAATGGATAACTATTAATTTTACAATGGAGAAGCAAAACAGCAGCTCGTTATTTTCTTCAGTGAAGGAGACTGCCATTTCCTCCCCATTGAAGCTCCACCTTTAGAGGATGTGCAGTTCCTAAACATGCCCTACCCCACAAAAGTGCAGGCTTTAAAAACCCATTGTACTCTTTGCCTAGAATGTACTGAAACATAAGAGAAAAGGCATGAAATAAATTGCCTTAATAAGTGTGCTTATAGTCCCATAAATAAAACAGTAATGAGCCGATGAGGCCAAAATCTTTTGCCTTCCAATTATTTATGTGCATAATGGATGGTCATGTACTGGACAGTGCTTCATTGGTATGGGCCCAGGTGACAGGCAGAGATAAAGACTGCCTGATAACACCTATTACTTCCAATCTCATGCAAATTAGAAATGTATTTATGGTGTGATTAGAGCTATGAATTAAGAACCCCACTATCCACAGTTTCTGCTTCTATCTACCCAGCTTATTTCAAGAATCCAGCCTCAGAAACCAATAACCTCTACAGCTTTCATTAGTCCATCTGACCTAGGTTCTTCACATGTTCACAGTGTTACTTTTATAGTTGCATTCTCTACTAATTCCAGACACCTTTAATCTCGAAAACCTTCTCTCTCCTGTTTTCAGGCATGGGCCCTTTTTTGTACAGCTATCAGAAAGCATCAAATTAAGCTTAATTCCAGGGTAAAGCTTGCTCTAGGAAAGGCTAAAAGGGAGTGGTGCATTCCATGAGCAAGTACGGGCAGATCAGGATGTGGTGAATTCAAGCCATAGTACTGCATGTTTACAAAAAAATGCCAACGCATACACTGCACTACCAAAACATATTTTTATTTTTTTCCTCAGCTTTTCCTGATTTCTATAAACGGCAAGCACCCGCTACAGCTACCATTTCCACAGCGTTGGCTAGAGGCAAGCACCTTCCTAGTCTCCCACTTCAATACAATCCTAACCACCAAATTTGTATCACCTTCGAGCTCTGAGTTGCCCACCATGGCCTTGTTTATTCCTGATTCAGATAAGCTCTTTTTATAGGCAAGAGACCCTTTCGTTTTAGGAAATTCTGGCCACGCATCTTTAGCAACCGGTTAACAAACCTGAGGGCAACATACCTATTCGAGCAATGCACGAGCAGACAAAAGACTCCACTACCCTCTATCAAGACCAATGAGCCTGTCGCCAAGTCGAGCAGTGCCATGCCCGTGTTATCCCTGTGCTAAAACAACCGAGCCGGGAAGGGTCGCCCTCACCGGGACTCACCGCTCTGCGCATGCGCAGTGCGCCCCAGCGGCGCCGCGCGCAGTTCCGGGTCAGGGCGGCCATGGAGGCCGGGCAGGGCCCGGGGCCCGGCGGTGACGCGGCCCAGGTAACCGCGCTGCTCGGCCGCGCTGTGCTGGGGACACCTCTCCGGGCTGGCGGTGTTCCTGCTGGGGTAACGTGGGGGGCTCGGGGCCAGGCTCGGAGCCGGGGCTGGATAGCGGGGATTCCTGTCAGCCGCTCGGCCGCCCCTGCCCTGAGCTCCCCGCAGGCACGGTGCCCTTGAAGCCTCGGGGGCCGGGCGGGGGGTCCTGGCAGGAGGTGAGGAGGTGTTCGTGTCTGAATATGAGCCAGCAGTGTGCCCAGGTGGCCATGAAGGCCAGTGGCATCCTGGTTTGTGTCAGGAATAGTGCGGCTAGCAGGAGCAGGGCAGTGACCATCCCCGTGTACTCGGTTCTGGTGAGGCCGCACCTGGCGTGCTGTGTCCAGTTCTTAGCCCCTCACTTTAAGAAGGACATCGAGGTGGTGCAGCATGTCGGGAGAGGGGCAATGAAGCTGGTGAAGGGTCTGGAGCACAACTCCTGTGAGAAGCGGCTGAGCGAGCTGGGGTTGTTTAGGCTGGAGAAGAGGAGGCTCAGGGGAGATCTTATCACTCTACAACAAAGGAGGTTGTAGCAAAGTGGGGCTTGGCCCCTTCTCCCAGGCAGCTAGTGACAGGACAAGAGGAAATGGCATCAAGCTGTGTCAGGAGAAGTTTAGGTTGGACATCAAGAAGAATTTCTTCACAGAAAGGGTGTTTAGACATTGGAATAGGCTGCCCAGGGAGGTGGTGGAGTCACCGTCCCTGGAGGTGTTTAAGGAAGGACTGGACATGGCACTTGGTGCCATGGTGGAATTGACACGCTAGTGTTCAGTCATAGGTTGAACGCAGGGATCTCAGAGGTCTTTTCCCATCTAATTGACCTGTGATTCTGTGTTCCCCCGGTGCCGTTGGCCTTCTCACAGTTCTCCCGGCTAGCTGGTGGTCTGGAAGCATGGTTGGCTGCACGGCTCTCACGGTGGGAGAGGGTCACACACCTCCAGCACAAACCTTTCACACACTGGGGAAACAGCTGGTCGGCTCTCACTGAATACATATGTGGGAACCAACAACATGCGTTATGTCATTGAAACCCTGAGAAGTACTTAAAGAAGGCACTTCCTGACCTGTCAGATTTCATCTGTTTGGAAGGCTGGTTGCAGGTACCAACGCAGGCTTTTCTGGAGAAAAAGGAGTGAGCTGAGTTGGGATCTGACTATGCACAAAGTATTTTCTGCTCTCTCATATGGTTTGTAGAAGTGCTGATTTTTTTAATTATATATTTCATGTGACATTTATGGACAAAAGCCACCAGTTTCTTAGGTATAGAAAGTGGGTGAAACTACAGAAACTACAAGGTGTGAAAATGAGACATTAAGTTTTTTTGATTGAAAAATCCCCCCAAACCTTTCCTTTACTCATTCTTTTCTAATTTATTTCTTTAATGAAAGAGGGAAGTACCTAAGCCTTATGTGCCGACAGAGGAGGAAAGAAGACTCCTCAAGGAATGTGCTGAAGAAAGTGCCCGGTATAGAGGTAAGTTCAGTTTTTTGGTAAACTTGTTTGCATTTCTTCTACCCTTTCCTCTTGCTGTTATCTGAGGCATTAAGGAAGGCCTGGGTCAATATATCACAATGGTCCATTAACAAGCTTCATATGGTCTAAAATTGCATCCCAGTAAATGCTGATCCATGTAGTGTTTACCTTTATTAAGAGTTTGCAGGCCAGAGTTTTGTGAAAGATGCAACATAATTTCTAAGTTTTATTCTTGACAACAAGATCTCTTCATATTTGAAGTTAAAGTGCTTATTGAAAGTCTGAAAATAGATCTAATTAATGAATCTCTTGTTTATTTATGTTTCTGATTTTTTTTGTTATTTCTGCATTTTTATTTTCAATTTTTATTGTTATTTTTAGCATGCAAGAATAAAACAGTTTAACTTCTAACCATTGCTTTCCATCTTTATGAAGAGTTGTGAAGAGAACAATAAGTAGTCACTCAGCTCAACTTTTGGAGAAAATTTCTATGTCTCTGAAAAGCCGACATTTGGGCATAATTTTGTTGTCTGTGGCATACTTGGTTTTTGTACACTTGGTCACACGGTTTGAACAAGCCTTCTGATGTGATTGTTACCTGCTGGTTTATTGACACTAGTAGACTACTCCTGATAGATGGCTTGACAGAAACCAGGACAGATGAAGAATTTAGCAGCTGATTTGCTAAATTTAGCACACTAGGGCTCTGATTTCTCCTGGAAGTCAGTACTTTCAGAGGCAGTTCCTAAGGCACTGTGATTTTGAATTAATGAATCAGATATATGCTTTGTCCTTCTCCATTGTTTTGGCATTCTCCTCTTCCACTTTTGTACAAATACTTGGAAACCTTCAGCATGTTTGCTAAAACGTAGCCATTTTCTGTATATTTTTGTAAGTGAAAAGAGCCACGTCCGTTAGTGGTATGATCACGATTGGTTATGGCTTATTGATAGTCTTTCTTCTGGAAGACAAAGAGGGGAGAGAGCCGTTTGCTGTTCCTGAGGTGTTCAGCTGCTTGGCAATGTAACTCATTGCCCTGTGGGTCTTTGCACAGTCACTGGGAAACAACATGAAGGTCCTGTTGAGAAGCCTTAACTTAGTTTCTTGAGTCGTTTCTCTTTAGGGAGTTACAACAGTAGCTGAGAATTTTTGAAGGGGCTGGGAGGGAGGGAGTGTGTACTGTGCTGTTATCTCACTGGGCTAGCCTGAAGCCCATCACTATTTTGTAGGTCTCCTGTCTTTGTTTCCGTAGATTGTTGTATTGACTATATTAAATACCTATTGCTTGAACTTCCCTTTGCAAGAGGTATGAGCTGTCTATGTGACTGCCTTGAAATCCTCACTTTGTACTGTATCAGTTTTTGTTATTCACTGATGTTACTATAAATTTGTGTGTTTTCAGTTTGTTTATTCAAATTTCAAGCTGTAGCAAATTTTTACCCATTCTTACAAACCCTCTGTGTTTTGGCATAGTTTCTATTGGCAGATTCTGTTGGCAGTAATTTCATAATCCAGTCTAATATATATATATATATAATATATATATGTAGTAATGCTATTCTGAAGTAACTAAATTTTAATCACATTATCATATGATATAAATTCTAACACTTTTGAAAATTCACACTACAATCTACAACTTTATCCTTTGCACTTTTAATCTCACTAACAAAATCAAATCATATTGATACAACTTCTTCTGCATAAAACCATTTTGATTAGGGTACACTATATTCCTGTCCTTATTTGCTATTTTCTGCCTTCCATTATTTTCCCTAGGCTTATTTTGTTCCTGAAGCAGAAAATTACTCTTTGTCCATAGCAGGAAAAAGCATTGATATTTTTTGATTTATAAAGCTTGTTCTGTTGGGTTTTTTCCTTACAGTTGAGTAATTATTTGTATTTATTTTTATGTATAATAAATTTTCATTTAGCTATTATTCTTTTAATTTTCAGTTACCATTTCAGGTCACTTATATGCTCACATACTAGTGGCTGTTTCCAAGTGTTTAACCTGTCTTTGGTGTCCAGAATGTTTGTGTTGGGCCTATAAATCATTTCAGACTTCTAAGAGTTAGGCTGAAGTCCTCCGTAATAAATTCTTTTGAATGTATTTTTCTTAACATACCCTTCCTCCCCTTGTTTGTTTTTTAATTTTACAGTTCAGCTTCAGATCTGTACTGTCATTCTATATCTCAGAAAATCTAGAACCCTAAATTTTGGAAAAATCTAGGTCTGGAATCTCTAAAAGCATGAGATTTTTAATCTCTAATAGATTGGAAGATTTTATTCTCTGTTTTGAAGTGTTGCTCTAATCTCGCCTTGAGCCAAAGAGCCAATACTTTTTCTTAAAAGTGACATCCAGTCACATTTACCCTGAAATGCTGGTTGGACTCCTTACCTAGTTTAGACTTTCAGAATTTGTGAGAGAATAAACTGTTTATTTGCAAAGTATATTTTAATACTGTGACAAATATCATTTATCTTCAGGTATGAACTTAATTAGCAAATCGTGTGCATCAAAACACTATAAACATCTAGTGCTGTTGCCAAAATTTCTCTCCTAGGTAACTTCTACAGCCTTTTTGTAACTTCTGCATTTTCAGACTTGCGTAAAATTAAATTTCATTATGGCATATCTAAATCTTTTATGTAGTTAAGTTTAGTCTTCTGTCATGTTTGTTATTTTGTTGTTCCTGTATCTTGTGTAGGGGTAGTGATCTTTATGAATAGTTGCAAAGTTAATTTTCACAATATTATAATTATCATTGCTTGAAATAAGCATTCCTTTTGTTTCTTGCGATCTGCAAATGCTTCTTGCTACCTAAAGTCTTTCACTATGATAAAATTGACATGAACTGTTAAGCTGATTGTGATAGGCAGTGATGGTCTTCAATGTTTGTTGTCTTCTCTGCATTCCTGGCCCTAACCTCGAGTCCCCGAGTTGTATAGTTCGACCCATAAGCTACAGAAAAAGCTGCCCTGTTTGCTAGTGAATAAAACATGTTACTTAATTTTAATCAATTTGATTTATAGCTCTATAAGAGTTAAACTTTTTTCAAAGTTCTTATGTTAAAACAATGTCAAGACTTTCGGTTATCAAAAATTTTTAGGGGCACTGGCCTCTATGCCTTCTGTCCTGAAGAACTGTGTATGCCTCTCTAAAGTTCTGCATGTTGATGCTGTAGTAGTTGTAGCTAGACCTGGAGTCTTGTCTGTAGAGCTTTATCCCATCTGACATTGGCTTTTATATTTTAGGAAGTATGAAGTCTAATGCTGACAGGATGATTCATTAACCAGTACCACATAATTTGTAGTAGGTTTTAAAAACTGGAGTTGAAAATGTTTGATAATTTATATACAATTTGTTAATTATATATATATCCTTATATTCTTATACAAATGAGCTTAGTAAGTAAGGCATAGCAATTGTCATTTTATTGTGTATTTTGTTAAATGTGACTGAAAATACTGAAAATCATATTTTAAGCAACTTCTTTTCTTCTTCACAGCTTTTCCTTTGGCTGCAGTAAGCATGCTTGGTACTAGTTTCTTAATTAGAAAAGGTAAAGTGTAAAAATACTTTGGTTTTGTTTGGATTTGCTCAGGTGAAATATATTTTTGCTGTTAGTGAAGTTACTATGATAATATAATGTCTAATCTACTTGCAACTAAAATAAGTTCAGACTGTGCAGCTAAATGATTTGAAGTTCCTCAAACTAAAGAAGGAGCTGAACTTAAAAATGAAGATCATGTGCATTTTGTGCTGTGTGACAAATGCAATATCTCACTGATTACGAAACAATATGTTCTACAGTGTGTAATAACACTATGATTAAATATGATTAAAGGGATAATTCTTAGATTTGTTAATTTTATGGGGAATTTGGATGTTAGGGGGTTTTTATTTTTCTTTAAGTGTAAAAGAGTAACCTGCTACCTACAAACATAGCTACAGAGTAACCTACACACATAACTACAGTTGAAGTTTTTCAGCTTAATTCTTAATTCTGATTGCTAATTACTTTCATTCTCATTTTCAGGTGTTCTAAGAGATAGCTCAAGATTTGGCTCTTTTATGAAAGTTGCATGTAAGTAAAAGCTACATATAAATTCAGCTTGTATTCATGCCATGTATTCTGGAGTCTTACATAGGTGTAATTCCCATGAGACCAGCTGGCTTTTTACTGTGACTGCATTCTAGTAGAATCATAGAATATCTCAATTCGGTAGGGGCCCATAAGGACCATAGAGTCCCAACTCCTTGCTCCTCACAGGTCTACCTAAAACTAAACCATATGACTAAGAGTGTAGTCTAGATGCTCCTTGAACTCTCGACAGGCTTGGTGCTGTGACCACTTCCCTGGGGAGCCTGTTCCAGTGACTGACAACCCTCTCAGTGAAGAACCTTTTCCTAATGGCCAGTCCGAACTTCCCCTGATGCAGCCTCATACCTATCACTGGTCACCAGACAGAGATCAGCACCTCCCCCTCCACTGCCTATCTTGAGGAAGTTGTAGATGTAGACTGTGATGAGGTCACCCCTCGTTCTTCTCTTCTCCAAGCTGAACAAACCAAATGAACTCAACTGTTCCTTGTAAGTCTGGTCCTTGAGACCTTTCACCATCTTGGTCACCCTCCTCTGGACATCTGCCTGATGCCCCCCTGAACATGGTTGGCCCTCCTGACTGCCACGGCACTGCTGACTCACTCAACTTTCCCTCAACCCAAACACCCAGTATTCTTTCTGCAAGGCTGCTTTCCAGAAGTGGGCCCGTGGGAATCTCATGAGATTCAGCAAGTCCAAGTGCAAGGTAGTGCACCTGGGTCAGGGCAATCTCAGATGTGAGTACACACTGGGAGAAGAAGCCATTGAGAGCAGCCCTGCAGAGAAGGACTTGGGGGTTCTCACGTATGAAAATCTGGACGTAAACCAACAGTGTGTGCTCACAGCCCAGAAGGCCAATGGCATCGTAGGCTGCATCAAAAGAAGAGGGACCAGCAGGTGGAGGGAGGTGATTCTGCTCCTGTTCTGTGCTCTCCTAAGACCTGGAGTGCTGCATCCAGGTCTGAGGTCCTCAGCACAAGAAAGAGATTAACTTTTTAGAGTGGGTCCAGAGGAGGCCATGAAGATGACCAGAGGGCTGGAACAGCTATGAGGACAGGCTGAGAGAGCTGAGGAAAAGGGAAGGCTTCAAGGAGATCTCATTGAGGCCTTCCAGTACCAGGCTTATAAAAAAGAGGGACGGTGACATTTTACGTGGACAGACAGTGATAGGACAAGGGCCAGTGATTTTAAACTAAAAGGGGAGAGATTTAGATTAGATGTTAGGAAGAAATTCTTTACTGAGGGTAGTCAGGCACTGGACAGGTTGCTCAGAGAAGCTGTGGATGCTGCATCGCTGGAAGTGTTGAAGGCCAGGTTGGATGGGGCCCTGAGCAACCTGGTCTAGTGAAGGGCATCCCTGCTCGTGGCAGCAGGGTTGGAAGTGGATGATCTTTACGGTCCCTTTGCAACCCAAGCCATTTTATGATTCTGTGATTTATTCACCATCTTTGAATTTGTGCTGTACCTTTTGTACAACTTTTGTTTATAAGCTTTGTATAAAATTGTTTGATAAATGTAGTGTAATCATATAAGATAAAAACATTGTAAATAGATACTGTACAAGCTTACTTTAAATTACATTGCCAGAATACACCCACCCCTCCCTTCCTAATTTGAAGGACTTTTTTCTTGTATCTCACATGTCCCATTCCAGCTATTTTAAATACCTTTTTTTCCTGGACATTATGTATGTACAATTGTAGGAAAACAGCAATTTCATGTGAATGATTTTTGGATTAAGTATAATCAAAAATAAATTAATAAATTAACGTTTTCAATGTAATACAGGACAGTAAAACAGGAAGTTGCCATCTTGCCAATCTGCCCAGATATATAGCCAGTTTACTTCACTGGGAAGAGGGTAAAGCCCATGATTTGTGGTGAAGGAAGTTTTGTTTAAGCAGATAAATGAATGTGAGAGACTAGGACTCCCAGTTGTTTATGCTAAAGTCTGCTTACTTTCTCTGAACACCAAACAATGGTATAACACAAACATTTCTAATAAATAAAAGAGTTGCAACTTCCCTGATCACTCCTACACATTTCTTGTTAAGGGCCACAGTCCCCCTCTTTAACAGAACTAATTTTTTGAAATAGGGGAAAAAATAAGGTGCAGCTGGACTAGCCAGGATGTTCTGTCTATAGGAATTACTATACTTTCCTCAGTAGTCTTCTAGGCACTCTGCCAATTTACTGGAAGTTCTAATTAGTCATGGCTGATACACTACATTGACAACATCCCTTCAACATAGCACAGAGCTATTGGTCCTCTCTCTGTCTTTGACAAAAAAGGGGAAGATTCGTATGTACTTCATGTTAGTCTGCTATGGGACCTGGCCTGTTTTATCCGTCTCTAACCAGCTTCTCTAAGATCTTGTCACAGTGAATACAGAAGAAGCAGAGAACAACAATATCTAATTTACTGTGCTAACTTCAAAAATAGGATCATCTGACTGTTAGTTCTGTAATAAGAGAAACCAAATATTTTAGCCAATAATTACTTTGAGTGAAAGATCTTCCAGAGGGATGCTTCCACTTTTCTTGACTGGAAGGCCTCAAGAAAAGGAGACTTTCTCTTTGTAATTTATGCAAAAGATTAATCACCTTTTCTGCTTAGCTTTATATTGCTAAATATTTAGTTTAAATTCTTCTTAAGCTGATTTAGGGGTGTGTAATTTTTCCCTTTGCACATATTTGTAGTATTTGAGGTGTCTTTTTTTTGTTTACCTGCTAAACAGCTAAATCCTTGCATTTGTCATTTGTAAACTTCACTCATGGTTGTGGCTGTTTTTCTCTTTTCCCTTGGAAAAAGACTTTTAACCTCCTCTTGAAAATACAGACATTAGAACAGGAATCACAATTTCAGTACTAGTACAGCAGGCTAGGGTAAAATCCCCTTTTCTATTGATTCCCAGGTAATGTAATCTATAGTGTGAGAATCACAGATGATTAATGTTACTGGTAATTAACTTGACTTAAAGGTGATTGAGACTCTTTAGTCTTTATATGTAGGAAATACTCATTGCATATGAAAGAAGGTCTAGTCATTTTCTCCTACAAAGTCAACAAAAGTGTTAATTGCCATAGAATCCTTCATAGTCCATTTGACCCACTCATAAAACTTGAAGGAGCCAGCTGATGGAAATCATAAGTTTTAAGCCCAGAAATAATTATCTTGATAATTTAGTCTTATGTCTGTGCAGCAGATGGAGATAGCTCAAGCACTAAATTGAAACTGTTTGCCTGGTGATTGCAAGGGTTCAGCTGATTTAGTTGTTTGCCCTCTGGCAGCCAAACTGTAGAATCCTCTTCAGAAGATAGTGGGCCTAAATGCTAAGCTTATTTAGACCTCTGTTCATACTAGTGAAAGCCTTTGAAAGATCTGACTGTTCTACTGGATTAAATTAGCAGAATTTACTACCTTTATTTATTCCTAACTGTTTTATCATCTTTGATAGTTAATTGTGACTTCTGGATCTTAGAAAAAGTGATGCAATTATTTTTCTTTTTTTGTCACCTTTCGTCAAGTACTAGCTGAAATCATCTGATGTTCATGCCATGTCTAAATCATTGCTTTCTGTCTCTCTTCAGCTGTTGCATTTGGTTTTAGTACCCTTTGTCTGCAGAAGAAGCAGAGATGATTACTACGTGTTTTTGGTTCAGATCTAAACTGTTGGGTTTTTTTTCTTTCGTTCAAGATACTATATAATTTATTTGATATCATTATTTTTAAATTATGATGAATATTATGATATGGCATATAAATCCATCTTTTTTTCTTTTTAAAAAGTTGCTGGAATGTGTGGATACCTGGCTGGAAAGATATCCTACTTGCCAATCTGTAGTGAGAAATTTAAGAAACTGAAGGATTCTCCGATAGGAGATGTTCTACGACAAGCTCAGAGACATAGTTCACCTAAGTAAGAATTTAATTCTCTTTTAAATTTAAAACTTATTCTTGAATAGGGCATTTTAAACATTAATAGATCAAGACTAGATTTGCAGCTTTCAAAGACTTCTGGAGCTGCACCTTCCCTCATTCCCCATTATCCCAGATCTACTACTTTCAGGAAACTGTATCTGTATCAGTTGGCAAGCTATAAAACATGCATTTTGAGCTCTCTGCATACAACTAATCATTTTGAGGAGTAGAAAAATGAACATTTTACTTAGTGCACTATATTCCTTGTAAATTAAGAGTTTTTCCCATGGAATTTACTCACAGTAGTGTGACAGCATAAGTTGCCTCAGTTCAGAAGTAAACGAAGTTAACTAAAATGTTACATTCTGGCAGTTTTTCCCATAGTTCAGTTGGATTCAAGTAGGAAAAGGAGGGAAATGATTTCAGTGTTTATCAAAGGAAAGAACTCAGTAAACAATATCAGTGCAGGAAGAAGCATGCTGGTCAAACCTTCTGCTGTTTGTTTAAATCCTTTACATCTGTAACAGCATTATGCTGTACATATGAGAAACTCATCAGGTTCTTAAAACTATTTCCTGTTTTCTTCTAGAATGTTTTCTACCTCAACTGGTTTTTAATTGCAAGCTGCTTTCAGAATATCTCAATTAAACCCTTGATTCAAAACTGGGAGAATAGTGTTTGGATAGTGAGTAGTGGTCCTCCTATGTATGTGCTAAGATTTGTTAAATGTTTATAAAGGATTTGATTAAATTCTTAAAAACTTTATAAATTTAGATTTATAACGGTTTTTATTTTGTCTGCAAGGTTTACCTTTATTCTGAAATATTTATGGTTTTATGACCCCAAACATAATTTTAGGAATTGCCTCTTCATATGTTTACTGTATAGGATCAGCTGAATTGGAGCTGGGCTTGTTCCCTCACCCCCCTCCAGTTCCTAATATGAAATTGTCATGATTATTAACTGTGTTTACTCTATGTGAGAACTTGTTTAAGTGCCATCTGCTGCACCAATAAGTCCCTTCAACCTTTAATGGCCCATGCTATTTTATTTCCTAAGTAATAAATTCCTTTTTCTTGGTTGAATGATTAATTCAAATTCATGCCAATTGCATTATTATCCTTACATGCTACTCTTATAAGGTAGCAACAGAAATCATTACACTTTCATGGTTGTTATATATCTATTAATTAATGTATTTTGGTAATTTGATTTGCAGCTAAAAATTGGTAGGGAGTTAAAAGATTAGATAGTTTTTTAAAGCTGTCTTTTCATATATTTTAGAAACATAATTGAGGTAATAAAATGGCTTTACTCCTTATGGTTATTGTGAGAATAAAACAAACACTAATTGCAAATGCTTTTCATAGGAAGCTAAGCAGAAATTAAAAGATAAATAAATACTCCAGAGATGTTCTAGTGGCACCAAGTGGTGGCATTCTTGATAGAGGGATATGGTGCATACTGGTTGCAGGGCCATACCATGAGTATAGCGAATGCTTTAAAATATCTGCCACCAGTTTCCAGACTATTCTTTATATGATTTTACCTTTCTCTCCTAAGAAAAAATTCATTAGTGTTTCTGCAAAATTCAGCATCTTCATAAACTTTCATAATTTAATTTCCCCAAGATAGCTGTTCATTCTCCTTCCATTCGATACTGATCAATTACAGCAGCTTCTAGTGATGACGGGTTTTAAATTGCAAATTCTTCCTAAAAGGCCTTTAACTCTAGTTCATACTGGCACTAGTTACATGGGCACACCCTGTACTATTTGTGTCTGATAAGGGTTTTTTGTCTGAAGATTCCTTGGGGGAAGGGATTGTCATTTTAGTCTTGTAAAGTGCAACATGCTTCATCTCTTTTCTCTCCTGTTGTGGAGATTTTCAGGTATGAGTTAAGATTCTGTGAGGAAGGGAAGAGTGTTGGGGAAGGGACTATAGAGATCTTTGCAATGTAAAGGAAAACACCCAAAACATCCCAAACTTTTTTTAAGATGATGATTCAGTTGGAAACTAAACCATTTAAAATAAAAGAGTATTTTCTTGAACTGCATGTATTGTTACTCTTCTAGTTCTGTTTTTAACTTTAGTATTTTTGTATTTAATATTTAATTGTATTATTTTCCAGCCGTTCCAGTCGGAAATCTGAATTTTCAGACTTACCTTCTCAGTCATTTACTGAATCTTCTTCTCCAAGACCTGGATTTGCACCTTCTTCTAGCTATTCAGATGATTATAGCTCAACAGATAGAGGCCTCTCAAGTTATGAACCTATTCCATTCAGTGCTTCCCTGAATGAATCTTCACCTACAGGAATTACTGATTACACTGTTGAAGGTGAGTTTTGTGTTAATGTTTAGCAGTTTGTACTACAAAGATTCTTGCCTTTATTATAGGTACTGCTCTTACTAAACTATGTATTTTCATCCCATGCAAACATACATGGTACAATACAGTGGTTTTGAGTGAAAGATCCTAAAGTTACCAGAATTGTTTTTTACACAGAAGAGAACTGTAAGTATTATTTTGTGTAACTGTAAAATAAATTCAGGGTTTTTTTATGTTTTGTAGCTCTAATGGCAAGTAAAGATCTTGAATTAACTTACGAGGTGTAATCTGTTGTGGAACTAACCCTGCAAAAAACTCAGCCTGACTGGAAGTCCTTTTTGATTGAAAGAAGGGCGAATACACCATCCTTTCTCTGTACTGAATAAACCACAGCCTACCAATTCCTGTTGGCCCTTCTGAAGTGACTGCAGTTCCACCAGCTGTAGTGCTGTAACTGGATACTGTTGTAACTCTGTGACATTAAACTGTTTTTTTTTTTTATTTTTTATAACGTGATAACATTTAAGTCTCCTGGGAATTGAATGGATATTGTGTTCTATCTGGCAACAGTCTGATTTTCTCACAGAGAACTAAGATGGTTTTCAAGTACCATACTGTACAGCTGTTCCCTTCCTTCCAGTATGAACTGTGCTCAGCTGTTGCAGGGGAAATGCAGGATTCTGAATTCAGGTGTCTCTGGTACACAAAGGAGGATGTTACTGTCAAATGCAGACTTTTTTACTCTGGTTTGGATTTTGTCAACTCCTTTATGAAAAATGTTTTATTTCACAAAAAAAGCACCTTTGTGCCACTTGATTATAATTATATGAAAGTATCAGACGTAAATGTGTCAAGGAAATTTTAATTGCACTTCATAAAAAATATCAATATTTGGTAAAAACCTTAATTATGGAACCAAGATTCTGCATGATTAATGTAGATAAAAGGATAAAAAGTTTATCAGTTGACAGATGATGGTTACTAATTCTTTGAAAGCAGAATTTAAAGCCTTAATGCAAACCCTCAAGCTTCACCCAGATTTCTTTTCAGAAATCATATACATATCAAATTTCTGATTATCATAAATTTTACATAAAGTGACCTGAACTATTTTGTCTATCAACTACCACATGGATTGCAATTACCATGGAATTTCCATTGGATAAAATTAAGAAAATGAATTAACTGCCAGTCTTTCAAAGCAGTTTGACAAAATTAAAAGGATAAAAGGAGTGGATTAACTAAAGACCATATATGTTCTCTGTTGTATTTAGAATTGCAGCTTCTTTTAATTTGGGATTGAGCAGTAATGAACTGGCATTCTGAACACATTGTAGCCAAATTCTGGTGTGCTATGCCATATTTGGTATATTTATAAGTTTGTTTTCTTTTCAGAACCTGCTCCAATTCCAGAAGAAACTCGTAAGAAAAAAGGCATCACATACGAGGAATTAAGGAATAAACACAGAGAGACATATGACATAATGCTACCACCAAAGGGAGAAACTCCAAACAAGTTTTCACAGGAAAAACCAGCTAAGGAAGGTAATATACTGATTTACAGAAATACTTAGTAAAGTCAAATATTGGCCATAATGTTAAAAATGGTTGCAAACACAAGGCTTAATTCTGCATACAAGCAATTTATTTTTACAGTATCTTCAGGTATCTTATATGTGGTCTGTAGTTTCTTATTTCAAATTAATTATTTTTTTCAAAAATACTGAACATCCAATAGCAAATTATAATTCTTTTTCTCTAAATATATTGCCTGGTGCCAGTCTGAAAAGCTCATAGCTTTTGCTTGATTGAGTATATCAAGCAACCTCTTTTAACAAAGAATTCTCTGAGCTCAGAGTTATACTGAAAAGTTTTAGCTATGGGACGGGGGGTGTGTTTTAGATAGCATTGTTCTCTCAAAATAGAGCACATGGTTGATGGTTTTGAAGGGGAGGGTATTTATTTTTATTAATTGTTTCATGTGGAATTAGTGGATTTCTATAGAGGCATTGTTTGTAGAGGTTCATTTTCTACATTAAAACCCAAAGGAAGGAAACAGTATTTGGCAGCAATACTGGGATTTGTTTTCACAGTGAAAAAGAAAACTTTACAGAGCAAAATAAGAATGCAATGTCCTGAAGAATAAGATGCCATTCAGAGAACTTTTTGACTCAATCAATTTTTTGAAAAGGAGACACAAAAGCAATTCATAACTGCTTGCTCTAGAACTTTTTTATATTTAATGTGGCATCTGTGAAAACAATTTTAGCAAGAGGAATGTTTTCCCATTTAACACACTGCTGGACTAGTCACCTTGAATTGTTTGGGTTTGTATGCAGTGCACGGTCTTGGCAGCTATACTAAAACAAGACTTGTAGAAACAGCTGTCATCTCCTATTAGGCATAACAAATGATAGTAAGTACATGAGAGTGTATTAAAGCAAAAAGTTCTGAAGCAGTAATACTAAGGTTTGGAACAGTGTTGCTTAAGTGTCAGTCTATTTGATGTTGTGAATTACTTTCTCTAGATCATCTATCTTTAGACAGATCTGCAGTTTTGATAGAAAAATTATAAACAATTATTGTGTAATGATTTCAGTCTGTTATTTCAAGGATAAAAGGCTTTTTCTCTTATCATGGGACTATGCCAAATGAGACATGAAAAAATTACTGAAGCTGTGGTTTTATATTGCGTTTAAATTCCATCAGCTGACACTTTGTGCATTTACACACTGTTTCTTTTTCAAGATACTACTCCACAAATAGAAAGCCTAGAAATACCCCTTGAAAATGATACACAGAAATATTAAGCAGCATTCTGCAAACCTTGCCGTATTCCATGGCAAATGTTGTGGCTGTGAAATGAGAATGTAAATTTGTTATTTTATTTTTAGTTATTTGAGGTCTATAAAAGACCTCTATAAAATGTCGATCAAATAATGCATTCTGTCTGTTATATTTCTGTGTTCTGTTTGAAGGCTGTACTCAGGCTTTGAGAATAAAACCGCTCTGAGTAGTGCATGAGATTTGTAAATAAACTTTTAAAACTATCTCTTTGTATTTTTAGGGAAAAAGAGTAAGGAGGAAATACAGAAATTCAGAAATGCTTTACTTGTGCAAGTACATTTAAATCTACAGTTCAAACATTACACTCATATTGTGGGCTAAGATCCGATTTAGCTTCTTGTGTCACACTGGACATGTTACTTGCTGTGTGCCTGTTCATACTCTGAGTCACTACCCCTTGGCTCATCCTCTTATCTTTGGTCCCTAGCAAATAAGAGGCAGTGATTTCTGCCCTCCCTTGCAAGGACAGAAGGGAAACCAAACCATGTTTAAACCAGCTTTAAGCAATCCCTAACTTCCATCTGCCAGTGCCTTCTCCCTTCATTGTAGCTGTACAAATACGTGCATGTTCATAGTGATCTAGACTGTCCCATTTTCCAGGGAATGAGTGCAGCCTGTTCAGCTGCCATAGTTAATAGAAATGGAAATCAAATCATACTTACAGAGAGCTTCTCATTGTGCCTCACTGCAATATCAGTCACTCCAAAGAGATTTATCAGGGTATTATGATCAGTTTGCTGATAATTCAATGAGACAAGGATCAGGCATTCTGCTCTATTCCATGGGTTCTGCTGCAGATAGTTAGTAATAAACAGTAAGCTTAGTAATTAATTTGCAAGTAGATTTATAAAGGGTTGCCTGACTAGTGTCAGCATTCTTACTGGATCATATAGATCCATCCTTAACTTTTTCAGTGATGGCAGTCAATTACAGACTGCTTTGCAGATCACTTTCAAGAGAGCTTATTTTCACTTTCTGGTCAGTTATGGGTGACATATTTCTGGACAAAGCCGTTAGACCAGCACCCTGTTTTTTTACTGTCTGACTCACTCCTATGCTAAAGGAAGCTGCCAAATAATAACGGCTGAGTAGTTTCCTAGTAGGGATTACTGATTTCTTTTTTTTTTCTTTGAACATGTTTTTAACTATCCTGAATCCATCCAACTGTACATGTAACTAGATTATGTAGCCTCATTATTTATTGTAACATTCCTTGCCTGTTTCCTCCAATTGTCTTTGTTTCATCCACGTTACATTTGTTTAAAAGTAATTACAAATTCTATAGAGCAGGAATTAGCACAGTAGGCCTTCTGATTGAATATTAATTCATTAAGGAATAATGATTAACGAACTCCTCTCCCCATTTATTCAAAAGTAGCTTTAATTAGATGTATGTTACGCTGTGAGTGACACTCCCCCTATTCGCCACTTCAAATGATAGTGCTCTTCATCATACTTTTTGGCATTGTTTATATGATAAACTTTTGCAGTTAAACTGTCATATATAACTACTTTTTTTTTTCTTTTCTTTAGTTAAAGTAAATAAATACGGAGATACCTGGGATGAGTAAGAGTCAGATGAAGAAATGAAGAAAATTACCTCCTGTCTGCTAACTTGAACTTCATCTAGATTAGTCACAAGTATCACCACCTATGGTGTGCTCTGCCAGGCACAGCTATTAATAAGTGAGGAGAAAATCCTGACTTGCCAGAAGATTTTAAAAAAGTATTTATGCTTAATTTTTTTTTAATTTTGCATAAATGGCAAACGAGGCTATTGTGACATGTCATGACTACAAACCATTTCTGCTGTTGTTTAAGAATAAAAAGGGTAACTGAATGTATATGAATGTATAGCAAAAGGTAAAAATACATGTAAATAAATGCAATCACATGTATTGAGAAGGGAAGAATATCAGAGTCTTCTCAAATTTTCAAGACTTGCATTAAAAGTTACCTGTAGAACTCTCACTGTGTTTTGTGCGAAAGTGATATGCTGGAAACTTCAAATTGTTGTCATGCTTGGTTTGTCATGTCAGGAATAATACTGAAGTATTCAGGAGGAAAGGGCCGAGGAGCTCAGGCAGACACAGAAGTAACCGTACTTAATTTTTTCAAAACTGTTTCATGGTGCCAGATGTATTTTTAGACCGATGCAGTGACTTGCCCACAATGGGTTTCTACAGGCACTCAGTTCCAAAGAAAATGATTGAATGAAACTGCAGGTATTTAAACTAGCTACATTTAAGTGCAGAAGGCTGAACCTGACAAACTTTGGTAAAAGTTTGAACAATATTTTGACTTTTAATATCAGGCTCTATGTATTTAGCCTTATTTCTCAATTTGTGCATGTCATGACAAAACCCCCATGTTTGTGGAGAAAAGATCCAAATTAATGGAATATTGTGTTATAATGATCTGTAAGAAAAGAGCTACATTGGCAAAACTATGAAGAGTATTTCCTGCTGTTTGCATCACCTGCTCTGTCTTAACCAAAATGTTGCCCTCGCTTATGGATTCTCATATTCTCGCCTGTGCAGTTTCATCTCATAGCATTGTATTTATTTCAGGGTTTTCGCTATAAGGGAGCAAAAACCATGAAGTTGATAGCATAAAAGCATTCCTGACATCCTTGTTGGAGTTGAAAAATAACTTGCCTACCAAGTTGAAAATTCTCAGAGACTTTATTGATTGAGTGGACTTGCAGCAGATTATCATAAATGAGAAGATAATTGGGAGGGGGTACAGAGCAATCAGCTGAAGTGAGGAGGAAAATGGGGAGAAGGGAGGATGCTTAAAGAGCTAAATACTGCTTATAATAATTGAGACGGAGATTGCTTTCAGAAAAGCTGATCTTCTAAAAAAATGAATGTGCTAATCAGATAATGAAGTCGTATCAGAAATTTACCTTTTAGAGAATGCTTCTCATGGCTGTGATGGGTGAACTCTGAAAATACACTGTCCGCGAGAATTACATTGCTATAGCGTTCAATGTGCTATTCCAAAGCTGATTAGCTTTATCATGAAAATATTCACAGAGTTCCTTAGTTTTGAGTTATCCTGCAAGTAAGAAGATGTAGAAGATTTAGATGATAATAGTGGAGCAGATTCTTGTGATGGTGCCTTCCTGCAAAGTGTCTTTCCTCAAATTAATATTTTTGAGTGGACAAGCACAGCATTTTATATAAATTGTATTAAGAATTTTTTTCCCTTTCTTAGAGGACAAAATAAAAGGCATGCTAATTAATGTTGTTCTGCTGAGGTAACATTGTGTATACACAGGATTTCTAAATTGAATATAAAGCTTTCATTCTGTTGCATCTAGTTAATATCTCTCAGAGGACATACTTTTTTTTGTACTTGGTAACAAATTTGGCTTGTCATCAAACAATTTAAAATTGTATTTAAAATAAGTATTAAATACAGGAGGGTTCACAATCATAGCTGTTAATTTAACAGGGTATTGGGAACTGATGTTTTGTCAAACTTGGGTCATGTTCAGTTTGCTGTGACGTGTGTCTGGAGACCCTAATTCACTAAACAGCCATGGGAATTTAGTCTTCTTCCTTCCCTTTTCCTGCACATCTTCCATTAGTACCACCTTGTTTCAGAGTGGGTTTTTACAGTCTCATGATTTCATAGCATAGACCCAGTCACCCATGAGCAGCTTGCTCATACTGCACTTCCATGACTTCTGGGAATTTTTAACTGAATCCAAGTGTCTTGGAGCTGATGGCAGGGTTATTGTTGCTGGAAGCAGTGTGACTAGGTGTAAAGGACTAGTAGGAAGGGGTAATGTGCAAAGAAAGCATGACAGACCCTCTCATTTTATATTTACATGTATTTCCAGCTAATGCATGCCATGTTTTTCTTAATTCGTTAAACAGGCCAGCTGTTTTCCTGGAACATACGTCCCTCACTATCCTTCAGAAAACACAGTAAGAATTAACTTTGCATTATAACTTGTATTTCCAATCATGTATTTTTACAATCTGACCTAACCGTAAAAACATTAAAAAAGACTTGAAGTAGTCATATGGGCCATCACACCTGTATGTTCATCAATAAATGTGAATTAACTCAATGTTTATTGTAAAGCTAAGTAAATTTTCTTCCTCAAAATAAATTTTAACTACATAAAAAAATTAACTCTTATACCTTAAATCAAACACCAGGAAATGTGTCTGAATACTTCACTATGAACATTTCTAAAAAAAAACCCTAAAAACCTGTAAAGTAACTGTTTTCACAATTTCTTAAAACTCTTAAAAATAAGCAGGCCAGTTTAAAGGAGCCGGTCACATCATCCCCAAGTTAGTTGTTTCTAACAAGCATGAACAGAGAGAAGAGGGTTGCAAAAATGTGCCTCAGCTCTTTTACAGCTGGTAAAGCTCTACCAAAAATCCTGATGCTGAATGGTTTTGTGTTTTCCTAAATTAGGAGGCATGTTTAGAGCCCCAAGTACCAATCTGACCTTTCCAGGGTTTTGTTCCTGCTAATGTTGTTTGGAACACATCTACATGAAGGACAAAAGTGTAAACGAAAAGTGGTTTGATTTGCTTAATGGAAGTTAAATAGATTTGCAGAAGCCTGGGGAAATCATTAGTATTCCAGACTGAACCCACAATTTTTTGCCTCCTTGAGATTCAAGAAGAAATCCTGACTTGTCCACTTTTTGCTGGGAGCTAAAAGACCTGTTTGTATTCCTCATGCTGGACTCTTCTTTTTGTGGCCCTGAGTGAGGACCTTGTCCAGCTGCAGGAGGCACATATAGCTCAGTTCCTTGGCTGCCACACACACACCAGACCTGCTATGGCAGGTAAGGCTTTGCTTGCAGCCCAATCTTTATGACTTGCAACTAGAATAAATTCTCTGTAATCTCTTACATGAGACAGGGGGCCTACAAATATCCCTTTACTTTTTACAGTTTGGTCTCCCATTAAGTTGCTTGTAGAAATTCACAAATCGTGTTTGGATTTTAATCTCAAGGCAAGAAATGGGACAATTTGCATCTTGTTACTATTTCAGGTTCTTGCCCTGTGTCTGTTCATATGGGTTTGTACTAGTTCAGCATAGCCAATGCAGGCTTGGACACAGATATGCCTTGAGTTTATACTTTTAAGTATTTTCTTTGCTGATGTAAGAGCTGGACATAAACCACCAGCACTAGACAGAAGTTTTGAGGCATCTTTGAGTATCTGCATTAGAACATCAACCAAGAAATACCACGGAGTCTTCATTTGAACACCCTTGGCCAGGGTACAGATTCCCAGTTCATAAGATCATAAAGTGTATTACTTTTTGTTTCCAAACAATGAGGGAAATAAGAAACTAGTATTTTTATTTAACCAAAGTGAAGCAAGATAGCAAAACCAGAAATTAGCTGTTTGGGTTATAAGATATGGTAAAAAATAAACAGATTCTTGGATCTAAAAGCTATTGAGAGAGCTGCTGGAGAGTATGTGATAATCCCTTGGGAACATAATTCATATGTATTTACCTCAGATAAATGAAAACCATGTAATTCTAAAAGAACCATTCATTAACAGCCATGATTCAAAGTATTTGTCTCTGTTGTCTTTGATATTAATGGATACCAGTTACTATGCTACTTACATATTAGTGATTTAATACTTACCACTTGTTTACTCCTTTTTACTAAGTTGCTGTTAATTTTTTGGTTGAGCAATACGAAATTTCCTGAGATTTTAAGATACATGGCAGAATGGTAATATACAGTTTCAACATAAGGTCGTCTTCTGTTTAGCAGAAGCATAAGTTTGCAAAACTAAAAAGCAAGAGTCTAGTATGAGCTACTTTCATAATGTGATGCCACAGTAAACAAAAAAAGGATGTATGATAAAGACACTGCACAATCATCTGATACAACAGATACTCGATCAAATAAAACTTTCACTTAGCCTTGAAAGGAGAAAAAAATCTTAAGGAGAAATGGAGAGCTTGATAGATTTCCATCAAAACTTGAACTAAATTATTCAGATTAAAAATCTTTAGTGTATAACCTTTGTGTTGCTGTTCTTCCAGTTGCTCAGTGATGATGCAGGACTCCATTTTCAGGATATGCAATCTTACATGAACAGCTTCTAAACATCAAAATTTTTAGTTCATTCATTACAAGGAATGCTACACATTCTTTTCTACTCACTCCAACCCATAGAGGAAGCACATTTCGAGTGCATTAGATTTTTATTTTTAATTATGAAGCTAAAATTAGTTTCTATATAAATCTAATGCCAAAACAAATAATTTAGTTTGGCTTAATTCTGTAGTTTAAATACAAATGTTAACCTGAACTACTTTATGATAACTAGCATTTTGAAACAGTGCAACTGATTCAGGTAAGGGTGAATTTGGTTGCAGTATCTAATGCCTAAACATCAATGATGGATTATTAACAATGTCAAAAAAATTTTCTAAGTAAGCTGTGCTAAGTAGAAAACACTTTTGCTGGTACAGCGTCATGCACTCAGTGTATATGGCTGTGTGTTTGCATTGAAGAGCTAAGTGTTTTTTAGGGTCCCCTGAGGATTTTATGAAAGTCTCCATTCATTTTTCCCCACTTACCCTCTACATGCCAGAGAACGTGCAGCTGTCAACCCCCTTTTGAGGCCACACTGCAGACACGAGTCACGCGCCGTTCTGTGGGAGCAAGGAGCCCCTCCAGCCTGGGCATGCTCCTGCTGTGCCAGGAGAAGCAAAGGAGAGTGTGGAAGGGGAGAAGGCTGGGCTGGTAGAACAGCTGTCTGACCAAGCGGCAGCCGCCTGCTGGAGCTGCCAGCTGTGCAAGCGGCGTGGTGTGAAACCCACCGAGACACGGGCAGGCTCTGTGCCCGACGGCGGTCAGAGACAGCTCCTGAGGCTACTACTAGATCTGCCGGATCTGTGGAGCTAATTAGAGGAATGGGAGTGAGTAAATGGCAGGTATTTGCTGCTGGGAAAGGTCTCCTATT